AGTGAGTGAGTGAGTGAGTGAGTGAGTGAGTGAGTGAGTGAGTGAGTGAGTGAGTGAGTGAGTGAGTGAGTGAGTTAGTTAGTGAGTGAGTGAGTGAGTTAGTTAGTGAGTTAGTTAGTTTGTTATTTAGTTAGTTGGTTAGTTAGTTAGCTAGTTAGTTAGTTAGCTAGTTAATTAGTTAGTTAGTTAGCTTGTTAGTTAGTTAGTTAGTTAGTTAGTTAGTTTGTTAGTTAGTTAGTTAGTTAGTTAGTTAGTTAGTTAGTTAGTTAGTTAGTTAGTTAGTTTGGTTGTTTAGTGAGTGAGTGAGTTAGTTAGTTAGTCCTTCCTTTTGAGCCCATGGCCCATAGTGCAGAGGTTATAGCTCTCAGTGTCTGGCGGTTCATTGTCATCTGTTTTAAGACTTTGATATTTGTTAGGCCCATGGACAGGCAAAAACTGCATTTGATAAAATTAAAAACATCTTATGCAATATAGCTCTTTCACTGAAGGTAAGAAAAAGAATTCTTGCTTGCTACATACATTCTAATACATGAATTAGAACAAAGAAGACACAAACAATAGATTGCACAATTTACTCTATGGCATATTTCATTGTGCGGCATCCATGGCTAAGGCGTTGCGAGTCTGACTCATAATTTAACGTACCGCGATCGAAACCCACTGCGGGCTGCGAGGATTTTTATCGTTGTATGGGACTTCGCAGGTCGACCCAGCGTCACATGGGTACCAGTATGGGCTGTCCTGGGAAAGTAAAGACGGCCGGCGTAATGCTGACCACATTACCCACCGAGTGCCGATTGGTCTGTAAAATTATGGGTGCTCTTCCCATATGCCCGATGTGCCTAAAGGTGTGAAAAGGGATCTTTATTTATTTTTTTTTTTTTTTAAATATTTCATTATTTCTCTTTAGGTGCACTGGAAAACATACAGGCAGATAGACTGGCCGGTTCTGCACTTCTTGGTGATAAGTTGATGTATGACAAGCTAGATGTTGTGAGGGCCCTCTGAGAGCAAGTGAACAGTGCAGAGGCACAGATAGATCATTACGGTCTGAAGAAAATGGCGCTGCAAGGAGTCACCAGGGGATCTGGCAGACGCTCAACACTCAAGGAAATGGCAAGACGGATATACAGTCAGTTTACTGGTTCCACTGGAAATTGGAATTCTTAGCTTGCTGCTTAAGAGGGGGACAGAGTGCTTATGTGAGTGTCCAGAGTGCTATGATGTCAATTCTTAATTCAATATTCATTCTTTTGTCTGTATAATTACGGACTGAACTGTTTGATTATTATTGTTTCCAAATATTGGAGCATTCAGCAGTTGGTTGACGTATACAGAACTTGCAATACATTGTTCTTGTTTACAAGGACAGAGACAAAAGGAAATGGTCATAAACTTGCGTTTGCCCTATTGAAACAGGATGCTACGTTTCAGTGTACTCAATTTTGTGTTTCAGCTAGAAGGATTCATGTATATACAGCATTTTAATCAATTGTTACTGTAGTATGTAACTTACAATAAACAGTAGCGGTTCTCTACCTGCTGGTCGTGACCCTCCTGTGGGGGGGGAGGTCAATCGACCCTTTCACATGGGTCGTCTAAGACCAAGAGAAAACACATTTTCATTGAAGTTATAAAGGAAAATAATTATTTAGGGGTCACCCGCTGGCTGCGTGGATTTTTATCATGGTACGGGGCATCGCAGGTCGACCCAGCCTAAAATGGGTACCAGGATGGGCTGTCCTGGAAAAGTAAAGACAGCCGGACATTACCCACCGAGTGCTGATGGTCTGTAAAAATATGGGAGCTCTTCCTAAATGCCTGATACACCTAAAGTCCCGAAAAGGGATCTTTTCTTTACTTACAACATGAGGAACTGTATTAAAGGATCGCAGCATTAGGACGGTTAAGAGCCACTGATATACAGTGAAATATGCCAGGCAATAAATTGTGCTATCTATTGCTTGTGTCTTCTTTGTTCAAATTTACAATGTGGAAACATTGTTTCGCCAATAAAATAAATAAATCTGCCACTCACCCCAGGGATGTTTCAGAAACCTCAGACTCAACTTCTCTGAGATCTCCTCAATCGACATAGTGTCGGCCAGATCCATCTTGTTGGCCAGGAACAAGAAGACAGCATTGGTCAGTTCTTCTGCACCGACAGCTGGTTTAATGACATCATAGTTCAGTTCATCCAATCGCTCGCGATCATGACTGTCAATAACAAAAACCACTGCGTCTGCTCCTTTGTAGTAATGGCGGAAAAGGGGCCGCTGGAAATAAGATAAGTAAAGGTTACTTTAATGACGCCAGCAATGAGAGTGTAAAAATGAAAGTGGAAACACCAAGATGTTTTTTTTTTTTTTTCTCTCTGTCATTGGATGCTCTTTATTGTTTAAGTTTTTTGTTTAGTATAGTTGGCAGTTGAATTCAGAAAAAAGAAAACAAAGTTTGGTGGAAACGCTTGGTTGCGTGTATTAGAATAAAACTATGTACACATACTGCGATATTCACTTTAAAAAAAAAAAATCCTGTGCCACCAGTGACATCATTTGCTTTCTACTTGACCCATTCATGATATTAATTTTAAAAAGAGAAACACCAAGATGTAGAGGAAGATCAAGAAGAATGTGGACTGAAGGAGTCACTGATACCCTGATAGCCCACAACCTCGCAGCATACCTGGCAATCCACTGTGCGCTGGCCCAGAAACCGACCATATGTTAACATATGATGAATAGCAACACAAAGATGAATATGGACAAAATAAATGAATGAGTTTACATTAACAAACATTAGCATTCTTAGAAAAAAGGAAGATGTGACAATATTCTTCTGCTTTTGTAACCCCCCAATAGAGCATAGGCCCTCAACCAGTTCACACCAAGTCGTTCTATCCTTATCTGTCTCTAACTTTTTCAACATGCTCTGTAAGTCAACTGCAATAACAACAACATGTATGTGGTGTGTGCACATGCGTGTGTGTGTACATTCATGCGTGTGTGCATGTGTGTGTGTGTGCATCTGCTTCCCCATCCAGTGAAAGGCTACAGTAAGTCAGTAAAGGTCCCTTAACTCTTTCCCTACCAGAAGATTGGATTAGAGATGCCGATGAAGTTTGCACCCACACTGAAAGAGCATGGATGTGTAAATTCTAAAAAGGCAGCATTTACAGTGTTAGGTGTTGTTGCCAAATGTGGCCAGGTTTCTGTAGTATGCTCAGCTAAATTTAAATTATACAATAACACACTGGGCATCTCCGGGGGCATTAAGGTTTTAGCGGAACATACACAGTGCGTTGCCTGTGACAAAAAGAGTTAACACATCAGTACTGCATATGGCATATCGGGCTAGACTAATATTGTTATAGACTAACTGGCTCTTGATGGGGATCGCTACAGTTAGTCTTTCCTCTTGAGCGTAAGGCGGCACATGGGGCTGAGGTCATAGCTCTCCATTTCTGGCGGTTTCTTGCCACCTGCTTTAAGTCTGGATGTTTGTTAGGCCCATGGTTGAGATTTCCCTGATGATGGTTCTACGCAGTCTTTCTTGATTTTCTCTAATTTTTTCCCCTTCCTCTGTCCATATTAGGGCTTGATGGGGGAGTTTTGCCTTATCCATTCTGAGCGTATGGTTGATGTAGTTCCAGCGGTGCTTTCTTATACAATTGGATACATTGTCTTGCTTGGTGTCTTTTTTGTGAATTGGATCTGAAATCTGTCCAGTGGAAATTTAGTAGTATTTTTCTAAGACATTTGTTCTCAAAACTGTCTAATTAAAAAACGAAAAATCTAGATCTAATGTTGCATTCCAACTCTCGCATCCAAAAGTTAGAACTAGAATCACACAAAAGTTGAAGATCTCTAGTTTTGTGTGCTTGCTGAGTGTCTCTGACTTCCAAGTTTTTGACAGTTTGTTAAAGGCACTAGATGCCAGTGGGAGTCGTCATGGCGAAGCGGATAGACGCTCGCCGTGGATCGGAAGATTGTAGGTTTGTTTCCTGGACTTTTTTCAAAAATGACTGGCTCCCAGGTTGACCTAGCCTTGAGTGGGTACCAGGTACAGTCCCGGGAAGTAATAGGCAGCTGGTGTAATGCTGACCACATCACCGATCTTGTGCCGATTGGTCTATAAAATATAGGTCTAACCCTATATGCCCTATATGCCTAAAGGCCTGGAAAAAAGTCCTTTACTTTACTTACTAGATGCCAGTGCGATTCTAAATGATATTTCTGGTGCTGAATCCCCCATAGCAGTAGTCTCAACCTCCTACAGTTCCTCATGTTGTGGCCACTACCAACCATACAATTATTTTCGTTGCTATTTGATAACTACAGTGAGCATGTGTTTTCCGATGGTCCTAGGTGACCCCTGTGAAAGAGTCATTCAACCCACAAAAGGGTCACGACCCATAGGTTGAGAACCGCTGCCCTATAGACTCATCGTACGTCCTAGGTAGGCAACTGTGACTGCCTCTAAATGAAGTGTGACCCCAATATTCTGAGCTCATAAGGGACATCTGTCTAAAGTTTTCAGCTTAAAATGAGACATCTCAAATAAGTCAGTTTCAGCCCCTCCACCTCGGCTCTCCTTTCCCCCTGCCACCCCCCTCCACCTTTCAATTCACTGATTAAACATGATAATTACATCATGGCACAAGGGTGGTAACCCATAAGTGCTCGGTATACTTCTAACTTAAGCCTGATTTCAAAGAATCTCAAGGCAGTCCATGGACTCCGTTACATTGGCAAGGATCCTAAAATACTTTAGGTATTTTTAACTTCATATTTTGCAGGGGCAGTGCCGTTAGGCTATTCTTTTCAATTTCCAACTGCCAAGAGATTTTTTTTTTACATACGTAACAATACCCACTGGCGTCCAATCTTACCACCCATAAACCAGGGGAAATTAGTAGAAATCCACGTGAAAAAATCCCAGACTTCACCGGGGCCTGAACCCGGGACCTCCAGCACTCAAGGCAGACGACATGCCTCATCACCACTGAGCCCCCTAATATGTGAATTACCGATGTCATGAAAGAAATGACACAATATGCTCTTTAACTGCAATGAAACAAGCCATGTTACATTTAAAATTCCTATTAACACAAGTCAGGCATTGAAAGTATCTAATACTACAAAATCGAGTTCATCGCTCTCATGTGGGATGCAGTTTTTCGTTATTTTGAAGCCCCACCCTAGCTATTGACTGGGTGGGTGGGTGGGTGGGTGGGTGGGTGGGGGGGAGTGGGGGGGGGGAACTAATATAGCCCAACGGTTGAACATGGTTTCTGAAACCTCTCCATGGGTGATCCTCATCTGAATGGTGGCACTTTGTGTCACTAGATGTTTATCGCTTGATTGATGTCCTGGTGTGGTTGAATCTCACTCAGTCAGTCACTCAGTCAGTCAGTCAGTCACTCAGTCAGTCAGTCAGTCAGTCAGTCACTCAGTCAGTCAGTCAGTCAGTCAGTCAGTCACTCAGTCAGTCAGTCAGTCAGTCAGTCAGGTGAAAGCAGCAGGTTGAAGGTGGTCGAGCTTTTATTTTTTTTCTTAAAAGAAACCTGAAGTAAGGTGTTTACAGACATAACTCGAAATGTATGCTCTATTCTCGAGCTTATTCTTAGATTTGTAAAAACATGGGGCAATGTGAGCTGTTTTTTTTTTTTTTAAAGAAAGGAGAGCGGTGGGGTCTGATGGGATGGCTGGGACACACACACAAAACGCAACTGTCTTAGTAAAAACGGGATGTTTGGTCACCTTATCTGAATGTGAATAAGAAAAAAGTAGGATGTTTAGTGATTGCCAACTTACAATCTTGTCCCGGCTGCCGATGTCCCAGGCTGTCAGGTGGAGATCTTTGTACTGGATGCTTTCGACATTGAAGCCTGGGAAATATATAGTTCATGACATCAATTTATATAGTCATCATTATTATCATTTCACTGTCCCTAATACAACATTTCAAGGCACACATCATTTTAGCACACATCACTTTAGCACACATCATTTTAGCACCCATCACTTTAGCACACATTATTTTAACACATATCACTTTAACACATATCACTTTAGCACACATCATTTTAGCACACATAATTTTAGCACACATCATTTTAGCACACATCATTTTAGCACACATCACTGTAGCACACATCATTTTAGCACACATCATTTTAGCACACATCATTTTAGCACACATCATTTTAGTACACATCATTTTAGCAAACATCACTTTAGCACACATCATTTTAGCACACATCACTGTAGCACACATCATTTTAGCACACATCATTTTAGCACACATCATTTTAGCACACATCATTTTAGCACACATCATTTTAGCACACATCATTTTAGCACACATCATTTTAGCACACATCATTTTAGCAAACATCACTTTAGCACACATCATTTTAGCACACATCATTTTAACACACATCATTTTAGCACACATCACTTTAGCACACATCACTTGAGCACACATCCCTTTAGCACACATCACTTTAGGACACATCATTTTAGCACACATCACTTTAGCACACATCTCTTTAGCACACATCTCTTTAGCACACATCATTTTAGCAAACATCACGTTAGCACAGATCACTTTATCACACATCATTTTAGCACACATCATTTTAGCACACATCATTTTAGCACACATCGTTGTAGCACACATCACTTTAGCACACAGCATTTTAGCACACATCATTTTAGCAAACATCACTTTAGCACACATCACTTTAGCACACATCTCTTTAGCACACATCTCTTTAGCACACATCATTTTAGCAAACATCACTTTAGCACAGATCACTTTATCACACATCATTTTAGCACACATAATTTTAGCACACATCATTTTAGCACACATCATTTTAGCACACATCGTTGTAGCACACATCATTTTAGCACACATCATTTTAGCACACAGCATTTTAGCACACATCATTATAGCAAACATCACTTTAGCACACATCACTTTAGCACACATCTCTTTAGCACACATCTCTTTAGCACACATCATTTTAGCAAACATCACTTTAGCACAGATCACTTTATCACACATCATTTTAGCACACATCATTTTAGCACACATCATTTTAGCACACATCATTTTAGCACACATCGTTGTAGCACACATCATTTTAGCACACATTATTTTAGCACACATCATTTTAGCACACATCATTTTACCACACATCGTTGTAGCACACATCATTTTAGCACACATCATTTTAGCACACATCATTTTAGCAAACATCACTTTAGCACATATCTCGAATCTGAGAGTAAAATTGGCCTATGACGAGCAGCAATTTGATGTTTTGAAAGGTTTCCCTTACTCGATTTAGCCAAGGTTGCTGAAGGCATGACGACTGCTTGCTTTGGATCAGGTGTGTGTTCTTTCATATAAATCCAATATGGCACATTAAGAAAAAAATGCTGTTTGTTTACATTAAAAGAACAATGCTCACACTGGTTGCATTCTGAATACCAACAGCTCATACCAAACAGTTACTGAGACAGATTTTAAAGTTAGGCACAAAGTTTTGGAATGGGCAGTAGTAGTGGTAGTAGGAGGAGTAGGATGAGTAGTAGTAGGAGTAGTAGGAGTAGTAGTAGGAGTAGTAGTAGTAGTAGTAGTAGTAGTAGTAGTAGTAGTAGTAGTAGTAGTAGTAGTAGTAGTAGTAGTAGTAGGAGTAGTAGTAGGAGGAGTAGGAGTAGTAGTAGTAGTAGTAGGAGGAGGAGTAGTAGGAGGAGGAGTAGTAGTAGTAGTAGGAGGAGGAGTAGTAGTAGGAGGAGTAGTAGTAGTAGTAGTAGGAGGAGGAGTAGTAGTAGTAGTAGTAGTAGTAGTAGTAGTAGTAGTAGTAGTAGTAGGAGGAGGAGGAGGAGTAGTAGTAGGAGGAGTAGGAGTAGTAGTAGTAGTAGTAGTAGTAGGAGTAATAGTAGTAGTAGGAGTAGTAGTAGTAGTAGTAGGAGGAGTAGTAGTAGCAGGAGTAGCAGTAGTAGTAGTAGGAGGAGTAGTAGAAGGAGTAGTAGTAGGAGTAGTAGTAGTAGTAGTAGTAGTAGTAGTAGTAGTAGTAGTAGTAGTAGTAGTAGTAGTAGTAGTAGTAGTAGTAGTAGTAGTAGTAATAGTAGGAGTAGTAGTAGTAGTAGTAGTAGGAGGAGTAGTAGTAGGAGGAGTAGTATTAGGAGTAGTAGTAGTAGGAGGAGTATGAGGAGTAGTAGGAGTAGTAGTAGTAGTAGTAGTAGTAGTAGTAGTAGTAGTAGTAGTAGTAGTAGTAGTAGTAGTAGTAGTAGTAGTAGTAGTAGTAGTAGTAGTAGTAGGAGTAGCAGCAGCAGTAACAGTAGTAGCAGTAGCAGCAGCAGCAGTAGCAGTAGTAGTAATAGCAGCAGCACTAGCAGTAGTAGTAGTAGCAGCAGCAGTAGCATGGTAGCAGCAGCAGGAATAACCTGACATACCTATAGTAGGGATCGTGGTTACCAAATCATCCAGTTTGAGCCGGTACAGGATGGTCGTTTTGCCTGCAGAATCCAAACCTGGAAAAGATTTTAAAATTTTGTCTTTAAAAAATTGGTCCAAATAATTTAAATACACCTGAATAAAGTAGACCTTCGACAAGCACTTTTTAATTTTGAATGTTGAATTCAGAATCGACATCACAGGACTCAGAACACCACCATAAGCGCTCTGTCCCCATCTTCAGCAGCAAGCGAAGAGTTCCGATTTCGATGGTACCGGTAACTGTCTTATCGTATTTCCGTCTCGCCTTTCCCTTGAGGTTGAGCGTCAGCCAGTCACCTTGGTAACTCCTAGCAGCGCCATTAATTCCACACCGTGATGATTTATTTGTGTCTCCGCACACCTTAATCACTCCTAAAGGGCCCTCACAACATCCAGCTTGTTAGTTCACCACCAAGCGATGCAGAACCGGCCAGTTTATTTGCCTGCTTATTTCCCAATACACCAGCATCATAGCCTGGAGAAAATATCCAAAGGATGCTGACTACCCGGGACCTCTGAAGTGATGCCTGCCACTCTGCACTCTACTTTTTAATAAAGTAGGTCTAAATAGTTAGTTGGTTAGTTTGCGTGAACTACTTTATGATAAAGCCGACGTAGTGAAGGATGTCTCGGATTAAATAGACAGTACAGTAGAACATGCCTCAGGGATTTTCTGTTTGCGGATGATGCAGCCATTGTGGCACATTCAGAGGATGATCTGCAGATCCTGATGAATCGCTTTGCAAATGTTTGCAAAGAATTTGGTCTTACCATCAGTCTGAACAAAACACAAGTGATGGGATTGAATGTTGGAAATCCACCAAACATTAGTGTGTATGACCATCAGCTGCTGGCTGTAAATGAGTTTGAGTACCTAGGCTCACGTATCTCAAGCAATCATTCTCTGGATGCAGAACTAAACAAACGTATAGGAAAGGCCTCTGCTATGTTTGCAAATCTCACAAAGAGAGTCTGGTCAAACAAAAAACTAACTGATAATACAAAAATGAAGGTTTGTGAGTGTTGTGTCCTGAGCACATTACTGTACGGCTGCGAATCCTGGACTCTCTATGCTCCACAGGAAAAAAGACTGAATACCTTCTGAGACGCATCCTTGGTATATTATGGCAAGACCTTGTCTCCAACGAATGTGTGCTCACAAGAGCAAAAATACCATCAATGTATTGTATACTGAAGCAAAGACGTCTGCGCTGGCTGGGACATGTCTCCCGCATGGAGGATGGTCGTATTCCAAAAAATCTCCTATATGGTGAATTGGTAACTGGGAATAGACCTACAGGAAGGCCAAAGCTGCGCTATAAAGATGTATGCAAACGTGTCCTAATAGATACCAACATAGGCACAGAGACATGGGAAAAATCAGCTGCAGATCGACTACTATGGAGACAGAAAGTGAAAGATGGACTGTCACATTTTGAAAGAAACCGAACACAACGAGCCGTGGAGAGGAGGCACCGGAGAGTAAAACTGCCTCACAACGAGAGAGTATCTACTTTTGTGTGTATCCTGTGTGGCAAAGACTGCCATTCCCGCATCGGACTTTACAGTCACAGCAGATGCTGTTCCCAAAGCCAGCGGCCCATCTCCATAGTCCCCCGGGACTGACGGATGCCATTATTATAACAGTAGAACCGACAGATAATCTGAACACTGAAAGACTAATCCAAATGTGTTCGGGGGATGAGTAGAGGTTGTGGAAGATATTCCACGCTGATGGAGACTGACTGACTTTCTACCCCACCAGGACATCACACAAGCGATAATCACCCGATGACACAATGTGCCATGTGGTGATGATCACCGCGGAGAGGTCCAAGAAACCGCGTTCAGCCAATTGGCCATATTTATGACCTGACTATATTGCGGCCCCTGACAAGAGCCAGGGTGGGGCTTCAAATAAAGAAAAGTTTCATCCTAAAACGTACGGTGAAATTATAACTGATGGAGAAACAGAGGCGGACTTTTAATCAGGTTGCAACCAGTACTATTAGCATGTCGACTCTTCGTTAGCTGCTGAAGAAGGGGACGGAGCAGGTGTGGGAATGTCCAGAGTGCAATGATATTATTCTTGATTCATTCATTTATTGATTCGCTCATTAGCTCATTCATAGTGAGTTAATTCACCCATCTACCTCATCACATATTGACAGGACCAATCATCCTCATCACATATTGACAGGACCAATCATCCTCATCACATATTGACAGGACCAATCATCCTCATCACATATTGACAGGACCAATCATCCTCATCACACATCGACAGGACTAATCATCCTCATCACATATTGACAGGAGCAATCATCCTCATCACACATCGACAGGACCAATCATCCTCATCATATATTGATAGGACCAATCATCCTCATCATATATTGAACAGTCTAAAAGCACTCAGATCCCACCTTCAGTATCTTCCTCAGAGTGTGCGACAGATAAAACTAATTCTGGCTGTTTACCCATCCCCCCTCTCCCTCCATGGTTGTGTGTGTAGTGTTCATGTTTGACCAAATCTCTTTCAGAAAATCAAAGCTACGTTTCCCCATTGTTAATTTGAACAAAGAAGACACAAACAATAGACTGCACAATTTACTGCTGCTCTCATAAAACAGGCAATTGCGTTTGGCTGTCGTTGAATCTGTACTTCATTTATAAAGGATTCACTTATTTGCTTCATTAATGCAATAGTTATTGTAGTATGCACCTGACGAGATACAACGAAATATGCCAGGCAATAAATTGTGTAATTCATTGTTTGTGTCTTCTTTGTTCAAAACCTCTTTTGGTGTGAAGTTCTTGTAATCTCGACAACTTTGCCGATTCACCGTCGTCTCCTGAATGACATACTTGTCCCGCCTCGCATTGAGAACATCGGCCCGCTCCATCGCTTTTCCTGCGACTACTATAGTCCTGTCATCACCCTCCGGAGTAGGTCTAAATGAAACAGGTCTTAACTACACAGGTCTAAATAAAACAGGTCTCTAAGAAAGTAGCTCTTAATTTTTTTGTTTAAGTATCCAGAAACCATGAGTTGTTAATCCTTTGGCTCGGTATTATGGATATCGCAACCTTGATTCCATGATAGATACCGTAAATCTGGTAGAAATGTGGCTTTTCTGCCTAACCCCGGGAGTGAACCCGGACCATAAAGAGTTCGTCACTTGATAGCCTCGCAGAGGGTTTTAACCAGCTGAGCTAGCGAGCCGGGCAAGTAGCTCTTAATAAATTATGTTTGTTAATGTTGACTTACTACTGGTTGTACCAGACGACAGTGATGTCAAGTGCTATAGGAAAGCAGATCTTGCTCAGATATGACTGAGCTCCCGTTTAACAGTAGCCTGTACCACCTGTCTTCTGTTAACGTCGAATGTTGGGCGGCGTATTCCTAACCTGACATCTCATATTGTGCCAGCGGCTTCAGGCGGAGGAGCACGCAGGGGAGACGACTAGTTTTATCCCAGGTAGATGAAATGCAGCGTGAAAAACTTTATGTTGTGACAAGCCAGACCTTTCCTTGGCTGACAGCTGGTCTAGGAAGCAAGCTTCGACAGGCGGACAGATAGAGAGCTGCTTTCCTGATCCGGCAGCTTCTGCAGCCTGTTTTCCAAACGTACTGGTGTTACCTTTCCTTTGGAGTAAACAAGGCAGGCCGAGAAAGGGATCCTGATGCATGGGCAACGCATGGTAATTATAATAATGCAGGCTCTGTGTTGTGGATCTACCCAACAGAGCCACGCAACCCCGACGTTGAATAAAGAGTGTTCAAAATAAGGATTACCACAGAAAACCTAATTTTCAAATTATGTATTTATCTTTCTACTTAATTTTTTTCAGTTGCTAATTTTTTTTAGTTTTTCGTGAGTTTTTCTGCCTTTCCTCTATCCTCCCCCTTTTCTTCCCCATTTTGGATGCCTCCCTTCTACCCTTCTCCACTTATTTTAATCTCCTTTCTTTTATTTCTCTGTTTTGAGTTTAGTTTCCAGAAAGAAAAAAAAACCTTCCATTTTTCAATTTCTCGTATTTCCGTTCCATCGTTTCCGGTACCCGCTCTCCTGCTTCTAAGTTTAGTTTAGGACTCTGTTGTTTTATTCTTTCGGTTTTATTATGCAACTATATTCGGATTTCCAAAGCGCGTTAAGTCCTCCAATTAACCTCTTCTGATTGTTGCAATAAGAAGTTGTTTATAATGTCTCATATCTTTTTTTTTTCAAAGGTGACATAGACGGACGAAACCAGGCTTTACTCTCACGCCACGTAATCGGATTGGCGTCCAGGACTTGTCGTTGTCCAACACAAGCGTTGATCTTCTTCTTATTCTTCTTTCGTTCCCCTGAAATAAGTTGCCTTTATAAGCAATTTTGTCTCTTGTATACATTTCACTGTTGTTAATTCATTCAGTGGTCCATAGAGTTTACGTTCCACTGTTGATCTTTCTGGCCAAAAGGTTTGCCTTAATGTGTCAATTTCGGTGCAGTCCTGGGTTACACGCTCAGCTGTCTGGGGCACCTTTCCACAGGTGCACATGGCTGATACACCTATCTTAAGTTTTGTGTACATGTGGCTACGTAATCGGTTGTGCCCTGTTCTGAGGCGGAGGATAATGACTTGTTCTGGTCTGTCCATAATAAAATAGTCGTCTTGTGCTGGGGCTGGTGGTTTCCTGATTGATTTAATAATTCTTTTCTTTCGTTGGTATGTGACTGGTACATCCGGCTGCACTTTTGTCGCACCTTCTCCTGCCAGTTGATCTGCTTTCTCATTTCCAGGCACTCCACAATGTGATGGTATCCACTGCATTCCAACTCTTCGCTGTAGGCTAAGTTGTGTCAGCAGTGTTTGCAATTCTGGTAGTTTCCTAGACTGGAGTGCTTCAAGTACTGATTTTGCATCTGTCAGCATTACTACATACTGTGAGCCAAGATTGGTATTTAGCAGTTTCTCTGTTGCTATCTCAGTTCTGTCCATAATTATGTCTGCATGCAATTAGTGTATTACTTGTCAGGTTTAGGTTCAG